TAATAAACTAATTTTTTTTTGAAATTTATTTATTATTTATTTTTATAATCTTAAATTAATTTTTAATTAAACCTTTAATTTAAATCGAGAAGCTTTTTTTTTTAATTAGAAAAAAATTTATATAACTTTTCTTTAATTTTTTATACTTAATAAGAGTATATTTTTGTTAAAATAAATATATATATTATAAACATTCTAAATTACTTTTTATTGTTTTAATAAATTAAAAAAATGAATCAACTTGAATAAATAGTTAAACATGTAATTTACAAATGTAGAGAAAATAATCATCCTGTAACAGAAACTTTAGCTAGCATTTATTGCATAGACTATATACAATTAAAGTTTTTTATTTTATTATAAAAAACAAAATAGTAAATAAAATATATAATAAGAAACTGATAGATTTTATCTTGAAGACAAATTATTCCCTTCTTAAATTGAAGAACTTAATCACTTAGTTTTAGAAAAATTATCATAAATAGACAAGCCAAGCATGAAGACAATATAGATGCAAATATGTTTGATAAAAAAAACATATATACAAAAAATATAAATATTAAAAATAAGCATATGATAGTTCTTTTATAGAGTCAGAAATGTAAAGATAAGAAAGAATAAAAATTTAAAGTATAGAGACAGGTAAACTAACAGATGGTGTAGTTACTTTAGAAATAAAGAATGCCAAAGATTTTGAAGGATTAACTATTTTATTTAAGAAAATATTTAATTTCCTTCTTCATAAAAATAAAGAATTAATGGTTTAAAATACAAACAAATCCAGACTTTCTGAACAAGAAAATTAAACAACTTAATTTAATATTGAAAAAGAAGTAGCAGCAGGACTCGAAAGCGTAATTCCAAGAGCAGCCTTAGGTCCTTTTGTATCTTTAAATCCTTCTGAAAAAGTTACTTAATTAGTAGAATTGTCTAATTTAGTTATAGGAATAAGATTATTTAATAAATGGATTAATAAAGGTTTTTTTTTTTAAAAAAAAAAATTAATCATATTTTTAATTTTTATTTAAATAATAAAGGTGGTATCGGACTTATACCATTTTAAGAATTATTAGAATATCCAGGGAAAGATTTAAATGAAAAAATAAGAATAGAAGCAATAGATGTAATTGAATAATGTGATAATTACACAATATTTTTTTAAACTTTGAAATATACAAAATTAAATATTCCAGAAGAATAATTAAAATAATATAAAGATGAATTAACATTTTTAAGATAGTATTTATCTTATATTCTATCACTTTAAGAAGACGTTGATATTTCAGAAAATACAGTTGATTCGAATAAAACAAAGTTTTTAAAAGAAATTAAAGATTTAGAATCCTTATTAAAATAAAAATCTTCTGCACCTAAAGAATAAGTACTTTTTTATATTTTAAAAAAATAAATAAATTAATATTAGGTTTATCCTAAATTTGCTATATTATCATATGCTTATGTATAATTATTAGAAGAGAAGAATATATGCTTGACAAGAATAAAACTCTTTAATTTACTTTAAGATATAAGATTTGATTTTAAATTAACTTTGCCAAAAAATTGCATCATTTAATCAAAAAATGCCCTCTAGGAAGGACACAATGAAGAACCAGTGTAAATTAATCATAACTAAAATCACTAAGTAGAAAGTCTTTTGCCTTAAAATACACCTGATTTTATGTAAACTCCTTTAGATTATTTAGGATTTTGTTTATGGTCAATAGTCAAAAGAGATGGTTTATTATTACCAGGAAAACCAGTATTGGGAGTATATAGGTAAAAAATATACAAATTTTAAATAATAATAATATAAATAGATACAAAGATAAAAATTGTGTATTTAGTGATGAAAAATGCATAAACGAATTTATTGCAGACCCTTAATTTTTTATATAAGGAGTAATAAATGAATGCAGGAAAAATCCCGAATTAATCCATCTATTGAGAATGGATGATTAATTTAAAAATGATGTTAATCTTAATATTTATTTGCAAGCTTAAGAAGGAGGACATCAACTTTCTAATAAATTAATGGTTGACAAAGCTGTTGAGACACCTTAACATTTCATTGAAAAGAAATTAGATCCTAATTATTGTTGGAATGAATGGGAACTTAGAAAAAAAGCATTATAAATGGCCAATATTAGAAAAAGATAAACTAAAGCTTGCTAAACTATTCTTTCTAATTTTAAGGTAGATTCGGATGCTTAAACTTATTAGCCAAAGGATGCAGAAACTAATACTGGTATTAATAAAGCTATTAATCCTTTACGTCCACGTAACTATATTACTGGATTAAGAGATAAAAATACTCAGTGAATTATTTTCTTAATATTCGTATTAATTTTTATATTTATTAATAAATTTATTTTATTATTTATTTTTTTAACATTAATATTTTAATCTTTTTATTATTTTTGTTTTTTATAAAATTAATTTTTATATTTTACAAAATTTATTGTTTTTAATAATATTTATTTTTTATTCTTTATTAGAATCAATTGTTTATTAAAAATAATTTTTAATTTATTTAGACAATAAAATAAGTTATTATTAATCCTTTAAATTTTTCATTATTAAACAAAAAAATTGCAAAAAATGTAAATTACATTTAAAATATAAATTTTATTATTTAAATTTAATAAAATACTAAATTGAAATAATAAATCTATTTAAATAAAAAAAAATTAATAAATAAGCTAAAAAAAATCAAAAATATGAGTTGGTATTTAAAAAAATAAAATATTAATTCTTCGCTAGGTAATGAAAAATAGTAAAGCATTCTTAGTGTTAACAGCATAACAAACAAATTTAAAAATAAAGATTTATCCCCATATTCTAATACTTCTAAATTAAATTCAAATACAAATTCTTAATATACAAGTTCTAAATAAATTGAAAAATTAAAAATACCGAAATAAATAGTAAACAACAAATAAATTCCATAGGCTTAGCTTTAATATTTAACAAATTAGAATTAGAAAATATATTAATAATAATAAAAAACTTAAATAATAAAAGGTATATTTATATAAAAAATAAAAATAAAATATATATTTTATTCATTTATTTAAAAAGAAAATTAATAAATAAATAATTATGATTCAATAACATATACTTAAGAAGAATTAAAATAAGCTTAATTATCTTTAAAATCATTGAAATAAAAATTATAACAAAAAAAGCAAGTAAATATCAATGAATTTAATATTGAAAATCAAATTAATCCCTATGATAATATTTATAATAAATTTTAAAAAGATATAAATAAAAATGAATTATCAAACAATTATGATAATAAATTAAATTATTAAGATCAAATATTAAAATAATTAAAAAATAAAGATCCTTAGCAATAACAATAATAAAAGATATAAAATCAATAAAAATAATCTTATAAAGTTAATTATGATGATATTCCAATAAATCAATGTCAAGAAAAACAAATTTTTCATGATAATAACTAAACAAATTATATATAAAATAAAGTATAAACATAAAATAAATAATAATAATAATAATAATAATTATAAAAATAATAAATATAAGTTTAAAATAATATATAATTATCTTAATATATTAAAAAAGAAATTCAAATATAAGGAGCTAATAATTTATATGAATATAGTAACAAATATTAAAATAGCTACAATTATAATAATAATATTCCAATAAGCTCTTAACAAAATAATAATTATTACTAATAGTAAGAATATGAGGAAGAATAAAATGAATAATAATAGGATGAATATTAATCATAAGACTTATAATTATTAGAATGTACTCAAGGTTGTGGAAGAAAGTTCAATAAAATTTCACTTTAAAAACATATAAAAGTTTGTAAAAAAGTGTTTTAATAAAAAAGAAAATAATTTGATTCTTAAGCTATGAGAACGAATACTGAAGAATTATAAAATTATAAAAATTAAAATGGAAATTATGGTTAGAAAAATATAAAGGTAGAATAAAAATAATAAAAAAATACATCTACATAAAATAAAAACAATAATGAAATACCAAAATGGAAAAAATAATCAGAAGCATTAAGAGCAATAGCAAAAAGTTCTAAATAAAATATATAACATGATGAAAGTACAAAAATGGCAATAAAAGAGTTTACTTAATAAGATAATCTTATTTTATGTAATTTCTGTGGAAGAAAATTTAATGACAATGCTTCTATTAAACATATTTCTTTTTGTGAAAAAAAAGCAAAGGAAAATTAAATGAAAGGAAAGACATAAATAAGAAAATGAAATATAATATTTTTAAAAAAATTTTATATTAATATTTATAATAAAATATTAAAATTTTTTTTTAATAATTTCTTTTTTATATTTATTAAAATAATTAATATTTTGTAGAAAAAAATTTATGAAATATAATATATAAAAAAAAAAAAAAAAAATATATTGTATATATATATATAAATATAATAAATAAAAATATGAAATAAAAATAAAGTTATATAAAATAAAAAAAAATATTAATAAAATATGTATAATAATATTTATATTTATATTTATATTTATATTTATATTTATATATATATATTTATATATATATATTTAAATATATAACTATATAATAATTTTGAATAAGTAAATATTTAATTTTAATTTTAATTTTTTTATATTCAATAATTTTGATTATATAAATATTTTACTAAATAATAAAATTTATTAAATAAAACTAATTTTTTTTTTGAAATTTATTTATTATTTATTTTTATAATCTTAAATTAATTTTTAATTAAACCTTTAATTTAAATCGAGAAGCTTTTTTTTTTAATTAGAAAAAAATTTATATAACTTTTCTTTAATTTTTTATACTTAATAAGAGTATATTTTTGTTAAAATAAATATATATATTATAAACATTCTAAATTACTTTTTATTGTTTTAATAAATTAAAAAAAATGAATCAACTTGAATAAATAGTTAAACATGTAATTTACAAATGTAGAGAAAATAATCATCCTGTAACAGAAACTTTAGCAGCATTTATTGCATAGACTATATACAATTAAAGTTTTTTTATTTTATTATAAAAAACAAAATAGTAAATAAAATATATAATAAGAAACTGATAGATTTTATCTTGAAGACAAATTATTCCCTTCTTAAATTGAAGAACTTAATCACTTAGTTTTAGAAAAATTATCATAAATAGACAAGCCAAGCATGAAGACAATATAAATGCAAATATGTTTGATAAAAAAACATATATACAAAAATATAAATATTAAAATAAGCATATGATAGTTCTTTTATAGAGTCAGAAATGTAAAGATAAGAAAAAAAAAAATTTAAAGTATAGAGACA